TGTACATTCTTGCATGGCAGAAGGGGGCTGGACTGGATCTCTTGGGATCTCTTCTAATTCTGTTATTCTAAGGAGGGGAAACAGCAGTGGCAGTCATCGAAAGCAATTTTAAAAGTTCCTTGTTAAAGCTGGACACCTATACAAGCATGGGTAATGTTTGCTCAGTGAATCTGCACTTGGTTTTAGCCTGAATTTGGAAGGAGTTATCCAACAGGTCAAACCCTATCCCCAAAACAGGCTCTGCACTTGGTTAACTCCTTTAATGTTCAGGCTAAAAGCCAAAGCAGATTCAACATCCCACAGATACAGGAGCCATGTGCCACCACTGGGCATGGATCAAAGCAGATGCCCAACATGGTCAGTCTCTGACACTAGGCTTGGTCCCAATCCAAGAGCAGTATCAGAAGAGGCACATTCAATCACTGTGATTTCATTTCCTGCATTTCAAAAGACACACTTCTGCTGTGATGGGAGTTACTATAACCCATCTACAAGCCAAGGAAGCCATTTTGCCTCTGTTAGCAGAAAATGGGCCAGTTCCTCTGGTAGTTCTGACCCAACCCACATGTTCAAAAGACAAAAAAGAGATTAAAAAAAGTTTTTTTTGGTTTGTTTTTTTTTACTATAGCTCCCATAATCCAGGAGCCAGGAGCACTGCTGGCGGTACTAGCTGAAGAATTCTGGCAGCTCTATTCCAAAGAAAGGATCCTTCTCCATCTTGTGAGATCCTTGTGAAGACACCCTTTTTATCACTCACATCATGTCAATAAATGGGAGTAATCTGTTATTTACCATCGCTCAAACTGCAAACATGATTTCCAGTCAGCACTACCCATACAGACATAAATTAACACTAAGCACTCCATTAGAGCGCTATTGCTTGTGTAGAACTTCCCCTGCTGATCTGCCAACCCTTGGGTTTATCCTTCCTCTCCGGTTTCCTCATGGGGATGCCCTCATGGAAGATGAATGGTAACCAGCTCTTGCCTGTGGCATTAAGAAAGATCTAGATGAATGGCCTTAGTTGTAGAAACTCCTCAAATTAGCTGCAGGCCAGCGAGAAACCTACAGGCACTCCACAGTGACTGAAGATTTTATTGTGCAGAGTACAAGGTTGAGTCTTCCTTATCCAAAACGCTTGGGAGCAGAGGTGTTTGGGATTTTAGATTTTTATAATTTTATATTTTATTTTTTTAGATTTTGGAATGCCTATATTCGCATACATACATATTGTGATAGCTAGAAGATGGGACCCAGGTCTAAACACAAAATTCATATACATCTTATACACACAGTCTGAAGGTAATTTTATAGCATATTTTAATAATTTTGTGCATAAAACACAAAAATTGTGTATGTTGAACTATCTGAAAGCAAAGGTGTCACTATCTTGGCCACCCATGGAAAAAAAATCGATTTTGGAATATTTTGGATTAGGAATACTCAACTTGGAATGCATTTGTGTTTGTAAAGTAACAAAATGACTTTCTATATGTAAAGGGTACTATTGTATTTTTCAGGGTTTTTTTCTGAAAATTTCTTAAACCCCCCCCCCCTTTCTTTACTGGAAAAAATTGCTGGGAAAACCCAGTTGTAGCCCAGCTCAAGGAAAGAGGAACAGTTATTTTTCCAAGGCTTCAAAATTTCCAGAAATTTTACATTTCCAGTCTTGAATATTTGCACTGATTTTTGAGCCTTCTTTTTTGGCCTAATGAATATTTGGAATCTCTCTTACAGCCAGCACAGCTACTCCTTTTTATTCAGACAAGCCTTTTGCCATGTTAGCTGACTTTTTAAAGCCACTGTAAATGCTACCCACAAGAGAAAAGGGAAACATATCTCAAGATCCTGGAAAGATGGTATTGTATTACCTAAAAAGCCAAGTGCAATGATATTCTTAAGGCCTTCCTTAGGGGCCATTTCTAATCAAAGCAGTAGAAATATCTGAGCCAAGAACCCCAAGTCCATTTACTGACAAACGGAACACTATTTATAGGTTTTTTGTG